TTTTGTGAAAGGTTCACTAAACAGGAGTGTCTGGCCTGATATGAGAAGGGAGATTGGGATTACATGTTTACTTGTTGCTGAAGACCTGGAGATATTAACCATGATGGAACTTTACACCTGCACATAACAGAAATATTTTTTGGTCTGAAATGGCCTCCAAAAAAAAAAAAAAAATCAACAAATGGAGGTGAAAAGTTTTCCAATTATACCTATTATCAAAATAACTTTTAAGATCATGAGTTAGAGCTAAAATATTACTAAAGGAACAGATTCTTTTTTTTTTTTAATATATTATAATACTGAACACGGTCCATGGTTTTGGCCACATATTTAAAGTATCACAAACAAACATAAAGGGATAAAATTAGGTAAGGTGCCAAAGATATGTTAGGGATCACAGAGTCACAGACTGGGTCAGGTTGGAATGAACCACAGTGGGTCCTCTGTTCAGCCTGGTAAACAGCAGACTGAGGGGAGACCTCACTGAAGTCTATGACTTCCCCATGAGGAGAAGAGGAGGGGCAGACCCTGATCTCCTCTCTGTGGTGACCAGTGACAGAACCCAAGGGAATGGCCTGAAGCTGTGTCAGGGAAGGTTTAGGTTGAATATTAGAAAAATATTCTTCACCCAGAGGTGTGTGGGCACTGGAACAGGCTCCCCAAGGAAGTGTTCACAGAACCAAGCCTGACAGAGTTCAAAAAGCTTGAACAGAGTTTGGACAATGCTCTTGGGCACTCTTGGGGATGGTGCTGTGCAGGGAAAAGAGTTGTACACAATGATATTTGTGAGTCCCTTCCAACTAAACTGATTCTGTGCTTCTGTGATCTGGTCCAAGTTCCCTCGTCATGCAGGGCCATCCTAGGCCATACTACACAGGATTCCACAGCCTCTCTGGGCAATCTGATCCAGTGCTCCGTTACCCCCACAGTAAAGAAGTTTTTCCTGATATTCAGGTAGAACTTCCCGTGCATCAGTTACTGCCTCTTGTCCTATTGCTGGGCACCAGTGACCAGAGCCTGGAAACATCCTCTGACACCCTCCCTTCAGACACTGACAGACATTGATGAGGTCCCCTCTCAGTCATCTCTTCTGGAGGCTGAACACAGAGCACACAGTCCTAACTATGACCCTTCAGGAATACCTTGCTCAAAACAAATCCCATGAGGACTGACAGGAAACTGAGCTACTATATACAAATATAATCATAAAATAAATATGGAAAGTACCTGTACTGTATGTATAGAAATTACTGTTTTCTGATTAACTGTTTCAACAATTAAAATAGTTGTTTTGAACCCTGAAAGTAACTGCTTATAAAACTGTTTATTGAACCCGCTCAACACACAGCAGAAGTACTTCCCCTGTGAACTCTACCTTTTACTAAGTATCCCCTTGAGGGAATCCCATGGCTCCACAACTCATTTTTTCTCTTCCAGTACAGATTCTCACTGATTTGGTGCTGCAGACATCTATTCTCCCAGTCCCCACTGACAGCTGGATACCAGGCACCTCCTAACTCATTACATACAGTATGCCAGAGACACCATCTTCTTCACTATCTTTCTTCTGGAACTGGTCAGGCATCCTGTAGCAAAGGAACACAGCCATGGATTTTCATTGATGGAAAACCTCCCTTACCAGAACACGAATCTCATGGGTGACTCTGTGTATCTCTAGGTTTTTGTTCCCAGACCTACTGCAGAGAACCTGAGCTACAATCACTGTTGCTTAGAGAGATCTTAGTCCACAGAAATGTGCAGACTGCCTTTTACTGTAAAGCGGTTTTACTGCAAAAGCACTTTTGGAATTAGACTAAGCCCACTGATGTGAACTGATCCAGCCTGTGTCAGTGACATTTGGAATTAGGCAGTAGAGTTCTGCAGTGCTTCAAGGTCTGTTTTTGACAACCAATGACTTTCCTGGCATTAGGCTAATTTGCTGAATCTTTTATTTCCTATATTACATTTAAATGAAGTAAGACACATTCCAGTAATAAGATATCCTTTCCATTTAATATTTCCCCTTCTAAAATGCAGCTTGGATTTAGTAATTAATCAGTGTTATCCTGCAGAGTCTACAGACTAGCATGAACACTGAGATTAGACAATCCTCATTTTTCCCTAAACTCAGCTACGACAATCCAGGAAACTGAATTTACATAAACAATAGAAAGATTTTGCTGTGCAAGTTCATAAATTCTGACAGTTTCATGAAAGAAGACACTTGAGATGAGTTAAGAAGCTTTAACAACTCTACATAAAGGCAAGTACACTGGCTGAAAAAGCAGCAAGCATTCTGGAAATGACTAATGAAGTATTACAGCAAAATTCTGCTAGTGGATGCTTCAGTTTATACTGTATAACTAAATTGCAGCAACAGGATATCATAAATGCAGGAGTTATTATTGGTGAATATGTGAAATATCTAGCTTCTGGGACTATAACACTATTATAAATCCTGTTCACTGAGTCCTGGCTTATTTGGTGTTTTTTGGCTTAAGAAGCAATAGATACAGTCAGTCAAAGATAGGTAAGCACAGAACCTGCTTTCTCACCTGAAATTGGCAGAGGCTACAACAGTCCTTTTAAAGGCATATATTGGCAGCATATATTTCCACTGCAGCTACATGAGGTTGTATAACTCTTTCCCACTAGCTGGAAAATATTTATTTAAAAAACATGTGCAAGCAGTATGGATCTGTTTGGTGGCGGTATCTACTTGAAGACAGATTTCTGGCTAAATTATGAGGCAAAGCATATAAAGGATTTTCACTGAAAGGTTCTAAACCCATTTGATTATGGTTTCAGTCTCTTCTGTGTCATTTTGAGTTTGTTTATCAAAATGTATTTTGGCCCAGTCTGAAATAAATCCAGAAAATTTTGCTGATGAGTAGAAATAAATAATGCAAAGTCTTCATCTACAGTAGGCTTAGCCTTAGCATTCTGATGGGATAACTTAAAGATTACCTGATAGATTAATGCATCATAACAGAGCAACTATAACTTGGTTACTGGAAAGATCACACATACGAAATTTCTGGTCCTCATAGAAGAAACAAAGACATTTTCAAGTAGGGAAAAGCTGATGGAGCATAATTATCATCTTGGCATTAACTCCAAATAAGAGGGAAATCCAGCTGATTCAACATTGAGAAGGGAACTAAACTGGTTCTAAAAAACTCAAAGCCTCCTTCTCACCTCGCTCTGATTTGTCATATCAACTTTAAAGGTAGCATCTGTATCTTAAAATGAAGTTGACTTACAAATATACTTAAAACAAAGTTGAAATCTGAGACTCATACTATCTCATAGTATGAGATACATAGTATATTGTATTTTTACTATCACATCTATCCTACAATAATATTGTCCCTACCTTATTATTATAAATATACTCAATTTACTCTGTAGTTTACTTTACGTTGCTCCTTTCCTAAAGATTAAACATTAAAAAAGTTTTAAATGGGAAGAATCAGGAAGAATTGAAGCTCACCTGTGAACAAGAAATTTCTCTCTCTTGTGGATAGAGAGATCTGTGGAACAAGTTCCTATAGGAATCAAGGACAAGCCTATATGTTTCCTGAGGGACTATGCATGCATTTTACTAAACTTTCAGAAGTGCTTAAATTCTCCAAAGGTGAGAACAATATAAGAGAAGCTATCAGAGAAGCTGAACTGCTTAACTATCACAGAAATTGTTTTCAAAAAGGTCTTTGTATGTCTAACAGACCAGACCTAAAGTAGTTACTAAAAAACTGCAATATCTAGAGTGATTTTAAAAACCAAGTAGGAAGGTACTTTTAACTACCATACCTGTGGAAAAACATCTGTATTTACTAAGTAAAGAACGCAGACATAGTTTGAAGCAAATTTAAGAGCATTTATTAAGAGACTATAAATTACAATTTAATAGAAATCAACTTTTTTTTCAGCATATCTAATTCTAAACTGTTCCAAATTTTTCCCTCATGTCAAAAATTAATCCATATAGCAAGACAGAATTGAAACTATACACAAATTGGATTACTTTTTGGGGCAAATTGCTCAAAAATAAAACTCTCATAAAGTGACTATCACCTACTGTTTACTTCTTTACATTAAGAAATAAATGTAGGGGAAAGTTATGGTCATACAAAGCATTTAACAATTCTTTTTTTTTTGTTAGAATAGTATTGATCTAAAATCTCATTTTAATAAAATCTGAAAAGCTAAAATATATTTTTCAGTGTACATATATTACTGCCTCAACATTTTGTTCTGTACAAATTTAGTTGTTACTTATGGCAACATAATTGGCTGGAAAGATGCCAGTTTTTCCTCCTATTCTTCCTTCCCACCAATCAAACTGGGAATTTGTTTTAGTTGTCACTGTGATTCTGTCTCCAGCTTTGAAAGTCAAGTCACCTGGCTGTTGTCCTTCAAATGAATAAAGTGCTGTCACTTCTACTGGATCACTCTGAGAGTTATCTGAAATTAAAGAAATAAATAAAAGGGAAATTACTAACAGGAAATTACTAGTGTCAGCACACACACTAAGTTCTTAAATGACATGTTCTTAAATGACAGTAGAAAAGGGTGACAAAAACACTAAAATAATCTATATGAGCATATAAACCACTGATGAAAAATCCCCTCCATTTCCACTATAATCTTAGGCAAATGAAATTTGAATTCCAGCCTATCAGCACAGTCTATTTAATACAATAATACTCTATACAAAGTAAAGATCAGCCATTTTTCTGTAGCCTCATATAGTCAGAGACAGTGGAACACAGGTGGTATCTGGAGGAGAGCACAAATGTTTCCTGAATGACTGCTATATGAATCACTGCTCAGGTTTGAGTTTTGGTTTGTGCTCTCTGTGACAGCTTCTTCATGGAAACTGCAAAACTCAAAGGAGAGAATTTGCTTTTTTAATCAAAACTGAAGATATAGGATGGCAAAATGCAAAATATCCATAGCTCTCCCTTCTTGTTCCATAGGTTTTGCAGTGCCTGGGATTTTGGTGTATCTTAGACATTAAACAGAACACACAAAATGTTCCAGTGGAAAGAACTGATTATGGTTTGATGTACTGGAAGTGACTTGGTTTGTATAGTGGTATTTTTGACCACATATACAAATGGCTTTCATTCTCTTTACACCAGTCTTTTACATCACTGTTCAGCCCTCAGCTGGGGTTGCAATCATGCCATGAGGCTTCTAAACTAGTTTTAAAACTACCAAAATCTTGGATACTATTATCCGCCCTCCATTCCTGTAGAAAAATTTTAGCCAATATTTATTATTTAGCCAATGTTTATTATCACTGAACATTTCATCTAAGTATATTCAATTTAACAATAATTATGTTTTCTCTCAATTCCTTTAACTGTCTGAGCTACAGGAGGGAGTTGTTTTAGATTAATGTTGATTTAGAAAACAGTTAAATCTCTCACATGAGTGACTCTACAAGTGAAAAATGGAAGGTGCAATGGAAGATTAGTTAAGAGGAAGTAATGTTTACACATTAGTCAGGTAGAGAGATTTCAGGATATATCGCTCATATGGACATGATGGCTGCATAAATGCTCAAGCATGCTAGATTAAAGGCTTTTAGAATTAGCTGAACCTTCTTGCTGTCAAAACTGTTGCAAAAGGGGAAACCCAACCTCTCAAATGTCTACAGACTGCCAGCAGAGAGCTAGAAAGTGTGGTGAGAGAAGCATTGATACAACTTTTTTGTGTTCCTTTTTTGCAGCCTGTCTTCAGCAACTGATATAGATTTTTTTTTCCTTCTGGTTGCTTTTATCATTTCAAAAAGAAGAGGAATTTTTTCCCTAAGGCTCACAAACACAAACTGTAGCCAAAGAGGTCAGAGAAGAACAATGGACCACAAATGTATGCATAAAGAGCGCAGGGTATTTTCCCCCCACATCTGTCAATATACATGTTCATTCTACAGGTTAGTGCTTTCCTTTCATCATCTGCATTTTTAGCAATCACCAAAGACTAATAGAAAATTATTTGGCCATGAGCTGGGAGAGATTTGACTGCAGAGAATTCAAATGCCATCTTTCTTGATCACACGGTATCCTTATCTCCTGATATCTATAGTCATGATCTAAAGACATACAACACTATTTCTTTTACTGTGAAAAAAACCCCAAATTTATCAGGTCCATATCTCCACCAGTTACTCCTACCAAAAAGGAAGACTGCAGATTTTCTAAATAGCTCTTTTACTGTCACATCTGAAACCCTGATAAACGGAATATTCAGCAATTACACAATTTTCCTCCAAGAATTCAAGCATTTGATGCAGTTGGGATGATATGACAGTGTAGTTTGAAGCTAGATATTTTGATTGAGGAAATAATAGAAAAAGTACGAAGTAAAACATAGATTTTTCACTCCTAGCATTAACTGAAGAATAGTCAGAAAATACTGTGGCCCAGGATGCTATAGGTGCTATGGCATGAAAACAGTAATGACTCAGTTCCATATAAAAAGGAAGAAGGGGTGTGTTTTACCCCTGTGCCACATTCAGGCAGCACACATGGGTTAAGTGCATTTATATGCTACAGTGAAGGCAAAAAATTCCTAAGCTTTGAGTTCTTAAACCTATGTGTTTCTATCATGTAAATGAATAATCACTCAAAGAGAATTGGAGTTACTATATATTTAAAACTGCCCAAAATATATATGGAAAAAGTAGATATTTGAGAGAGCAAAAGAAAATACTGAAAGTGCTAAAAGTGAGGGGAGAGCTTCTTTTCACTACATTCCAAAAAGAGCTGTCAAGACCACTATGATATGCTGGACTCATAGCAATGGTAAGTAACTAACAGCTACCATCTCCATGGATGAACTTGCATTAAGACTGTAATTCCTCTTACACAAACTGCTAAGTATTCAGAATACAGTACACAGAAATTTGCTCTGTAAAAGTAGGAGGAAAAATGAAAGGAAACACAAGACAAATTACAGCTTGAAAAGGTGGAAAAAAGATCCGTATAGGAGATATCAAAAGGTAGGAGTGCATTCAGTGCACCATAACCATGCCTCCAATTATTGTTTGCTCTGTCATATGAACAAAATTGTTTAATGTGTTTCTCTTCTCATTTTTTGTTCCTATACATGTGCATCTGTCCAAACACAGAGAAAGCTCAAAGCACTACAGTTCAATATGAACGCTCAGTTCTGTGTCTTTGTCCCAGTATTTACTCCCTGCAATCATTTAAAAGCATTTTTCAGCTTTATTCCTGTCAGCACTTTCATAGCCATTTCTACTTAATTTTCCCTAACAGCCTTTTCCCATACTAGAGTTTGGTTTCATTTTATTTCTCATAAAGATTCCAATTTATCTGCTTTAATTCTGTAGCTTTGTAGCATAATGCAGACAGAATGTGTATTTCTTGCCTCCAGAGTTCAGCATCCCATGCTTCATATTTATATGAATCATCTTAAAAATAAAGTACCTTAAATGAATGCACTGTTACAAAATCTACAACATAGATTATAAGGAGGATCTATTCTGCGTTCTCATTTCCCAATTTCAGTTTTACATAGAAGAGTTTTAAATAAAATTATTATATTCCACGTGAAGATCACTGAATGCATAGACAGAAACGACATTTGCAGCTCACACAAGATGGTGCTACAGTGCTACATACAGCATATGATATTAAAATCATTGCCATTCATGAGTATACACACTGCAAGAAAAAAAAAAAAGCTACATTGTGGAAAATCCTTATTTGTTATTGCTATTTGAATACACACTTCCACAAACACAGTGGTCAAACAGAAATATAGAAATTTTGGTTGAAGGCAAATTAGTACAGCAGCCAGCATATATCTTTAATGCTCCAGCATACACAGGTATGGCATGTTTGATAACAAACTTCTCTGACCACAATATCCTTCCATTTTATTTATCTTTACATACCATAATGATTTGAAGATCTTGTGAACGACCACTGCTATGGATAAAAGACTTGGTGTGGCATAAACTAGAGTGAATTTATGGCCTCTTGGGTGTGCTACATTACAGCCCCAGAGTGAATGAAAGAGCAATAAAACTATTTTTAATTATGGCATATTTATCGCATGAGAAAAGCAGTTTCTATGAAGTTGCTGTAGAACAGATACATTGTCTACACTTCTGTGACTCAGTTAAGAGTGCCAGTTTTTGACTACAAGGTCAGCTGGCACAGACTGGCCACATACGTACCAGTAGACACTGACCAGAGAAACGAGCCACATGCAAACTGTCTACTGGTTCCTATACTGGAGTAACAACTAAACCACATCTTGGATTTACTTGGGAAAGTGCAAGGTAAGAGTAATAATGAGTTTATAATCAGAGTTCAGGAAAGAATCCAAAGCAGGCTAAAGAACTATGTCAATTACTGGGCCCATTGCAAATCTGAGTAAAAGATGATAGTTGGTGCCATTAACAATGAAGACTTAACAGGAAATTTTAATGCCAACCTTAGAAATTGTCTGGACAACACCACCTGCTAAGATATCACTGTGAATGTAAACACTGTGTGTATACATTTATTGGTTACACTAAAATGCTTGAAGGATGTTTGCCCCAAATGATCATATTAAAAAGGATGACTATAATTAGGTCCCAACCAAACACGTTAAAGTGGAATACAACCATTAGCTTAATCCAACAGCTACAGATGAGCCTGAGCAAAGAAGGCAAACTGTATCCTAAGCTGCATTAGGCATCAAGGGAGGTGATCTCCTTTACTCAGCACTGGTGTGGCCACACCTGCAGTGCAGTCCAGTTCTGAGCTTCTGAGTACAAGAGAAACATGGACATGTAGGAGACAATCCAGCAAAGGGCCATATGGATGCTGCCATTGGAGCATCTCTCCTATGTGGAAAGGCTGAGAGAACCTAGGGAAGAAAAGGCTTATCAGCATCTATAGCTATCTGAAGGGACAGTAAAAACAGGGTGGAGCCACTGATGCCCAGTGACACAGGCAATGGGCACATATTGTAACACAGGAGGTGCTGACTGAACATCAGAAAGCACTTTTTTACTCTAATGGTGACTGAACAGGTTTCCCAGAGAGGTGATAGAGTTTCATCCTTGGAGGTATTCAAAAGCTATATAGACCCGATCCTGCTTGAGCAAGGGGGTTGGGCCAGATGATACCTAGAGGCCCTTTCCAACCATAGTCATTCTGCAATTTGGTGAAAAACTTCAAAGAGACTTTTGAAATAAAGTTATCTGAAAGCATAAAAGCAGCATGAAAATTTGTAATTGTAGGGAGTTTGGACAGGAACAGTTATAATGAAAGCCCAATTTGATACTAATGGAACTCACATTGTCAGCACCATCTGATGGTCAGGCCAGACAGAGCAGGTTTCTTAACAGACACTGACTAACCTGTATCCAGCTAAGGGAGTGCCAGCATGGAGCACACCTAGTAGAGACCCCCATCTCTCTGAGAATGTGACCTCCTGGCAGGGCCTTCTTGTCAATATATGGATCAGTGTGCTGTAAGGAGTTGCACTAGCACACAAACAAATCAGTTTAGCTTAGGACTGACAGAGCAACTCTTTAGAGTTTAGTAAAATAAAGGGCTGAATAGAAAGATTCATTGGTGGACAAGCAATATGAGAAACAAGGCAGTAAATGACAAGACTAAGTATTATATTACAGGTATGTCAGCATTTTCTGTGTTTCTTAACAGACAGAGCTAGATGTAAAAACTAAAAGGTAACACCAGCTCCTAGGAGGACAAGTGAAGGACAGAAAACATAAATAATTGTCTCATGGCTTATTAGGACCCATGTGAGTTACTGCATTACCGTCAAAGCCAGCTTTAAGGGAAGAATTAAGCTCATAGTATGGAATCCAGAAAGCAAGTTACTCAGCTTCTGCACTCACTGTTTCTAGAGGTCTTACAGTCCCTTCCTCCTTTATAATGCCTTCAATAAACCTTGAAATGAAGGGTGGATCTGTCAGGGAGTGCTTTTTGGTCTGTTTGAGCTTAACATACCTCAAGATTTATTGAGTTTTACTTCAGGTAGGATTTGGGTAGGGATGACAAAACCCAGAAAGATGCATTTTATGCTGGATGCAGCCTATTATACATTAGAATATGAAAGGAAAGGGGTTGGCAAAGGAAATGGCATGCAGTAAATTCTGAAGGCGTCAGAGTTACTACTAATGACGAGGATAGCTTTCTGAAGGAGTGTTAGGGCTCATGATAGGAGAAACTAAAGATCTACAATTCTGACTTGAGAAATGCTCCAGAATTGGGTCCTGATGACGCCAAAAGGCAGGCAGAGAAATGCTTAAAGTTCAACTTTGAAGTAGGTAGGTGAACCACTAAGTTAAATCTGTAATACTAACAAGATTGAGATGAAAGCTAGATCTGTCAGAGGGTGCTTTAGGTTCTGTCTGAGCTCAAAGGCATACTTAACATGAGAGCCAGTGGGGGAATGTAAAAGATGGACAAAATTATGGGGCAGGAAATTAACTTTGAAGCAGGAACTGAATCTAGATGACAGTAAAATATATTGAATTTGCAAAGGTCAGAGAGACGGATGTTCAACAATTGAATCATAACAGGACAAAAGCATGGACAAAAAACAGGACAAAAGCGGAGACAGAAAGAAAAGGTTGCATCTTTAAAGTGGTACCCAGAGAACATCTATAGGTCTCATTGCTCCTATAGTGAAAGTGAGAACTTCTAAAGAAATTCAAGTTGAAGAACACATGTGCTCTGAAATGATCACCAAGACGAAGTTTAAGATTCTATTTGACAGTTTATATCTTGAATTCTTACTTAGTTAACAAAAGAATACCTGAGTAAACGAGAAATATAAATAGTTCTTTGCAGAAAATATTATATAGCAAATTAAAAGCAACAAAGGACAACTAGCTGGAAAAACTTAGCAGAAAAATAGAGGGCTGAATAAGGAAGACTTCTCAGTGAGACCCCAATATATAAATGTAAAGGTGATTACAGATGTAGGCCAGCAGTAGAATTCAGGGATCAAAAGTATTACCAAAGAAAACAGAAGATGAATATTAATCTATCAGGTTACATACAGAAGGATGGAATGCAATTACTAATATGTGGTTGCACGCAGGTCAGCAGAAACTTGGAAGTAAGAGTTATATTTACATCAGTAAATGGCTCCTTTCCATGTTATTGAACTTGATGTCTCCAAAACAAAGTCCAGGTTCCAGTGCCCAATCACACTGGCATTATTGATGCTGATAAATTAGCAAAGACTAATTTATCAGCACAGACAGAGCCAATGGCTTGAACAGGGAGCAAGAGAAGCTCTTTTAAAGAAGGTGAAGCACACTATTCCAAACAAGAAAAAAGAAGATTAGATAATAACAATATGATCAGACTTGAATTTCATAAGATGGAGGATGAGATGATAATACTGTAAAGAGATATTGTGAGTTGGGGGGGGGTTAAAAAGAAGCAACTAGATCAGATGGGACAGAGAGAGGAGATAAAACAATGACAATCTTCTGCATCTGTGAAAGCGTTCAAGTTTAGAGAACATATGAAGTGAGCAAAACTATTATATCTGCATCAGTATCCCCCTGAAAGATAAATAGTATGAACTGGTAAAAGGGGACAGACACTGGCTAGGACCTGAAGCACGGTCTAGAAATGCAAGGCCTCCATACAGGTGAGACCAGCAGCTTATAGCTAAATGAAGCACATTCTCTGAGACCTAGGTCAGAGGAAACAAGCCTCAAACTGACCTGTCGATATTAATTTAGAAAATACTTAAGAACAGCATTAATCAGGTGGAAGTCAAAGCATTAATTATGTACCAGACCAGTGATACAGAGCGAGAAATTGGATGGCACGTTGTCTGATACAACGCTAATCCTGCGTCGATCTTTTCGCCAAAGAATTCTGAAGCTGAAACTACCAAAGCCTCAGTGCTACAGTACCTTTTTCAAGAATGAGACAAATCCAACATCTTGGCTAAATTTGATCAGTTATACTGGGGAGTATCTACCTGTTACTGTAGCTAAACTTACTCCCTTGGTTTTTTTTATATTTGAAGTCTATTTCTGAACTATTATGTAAAAGAGCAGCTAAGAAAGAGATTGATTTCTTAGGTGAATTGCATCAGGGACAGCCAAAGAAACACTGGAAGGGAACTGAGAAAGAGGTGTGGCAGAAAGACGTAAGGCTTAGTGCTGGGTTTTTGAGGAAACCAATAATTTTTTTTACATATCTGTTTCCCTGAAAGCTGTTCAGTCCCTTAATGCTAAGGATATCATACCTTATCTCACTATTACACATTTTGTAATTGCTTTTAAAAATTTTAAAACAGGAAAGAATACTAGTTTTAAATTCAAAATATGTGAATTATAGTAGTCTTGGTCATAATAAATCTGATAAGTTGCACTCTGAGCTATAACAAAGAAAAAATTGAAGATTGCAGATATTCTAAAACCAATCTACATCTGCTGATAATCTGAAAGCAAAGTTGTGTCAGTATCTGAAAGAATACATGTATGCAACTAAAGTTGTTTCCTTAGAAACAAAGCAATTAAAACAATTTCATTAATGTTATAACAGTCAGATTTTCACAAAATTGCTCTGAAAACACTGAAAAAGATACTCTCATATGTAAAGAAATAAAGGTTAAAAAGTACAGGATTGTACATTTATTACTACATGCACATATAAAAAATTAATGCATTTTTACAACTCATTTTTCCACTCATGACTTTAGAAAGCAATCAAAATGATCAAAACTGCAACTGAAAATAGTATTCTGTCATTTAAATAGAAAATACATAGTTTGCAATGGGTGTGACTACCATTTTGAATATCTTCTTAAATTTAAAAACCTCTTTCATAAATTACATAATACTTTTATGAAAAAGGACTGAGTAATTTACTTCCTGGAATGTAAACAAAGAAAGAAAAATTCCAAAGTAATGAAATATTTAAACAACACTACCTCAAAATGTCCCCTTTATGACCACATACAATGATGAGACCATGACAGAGGTAGTATCTCATGCTATATGACTTTTCAAAATTTGGCATCTTGGAGATCAAGATGTCATTAAGTATAGTTCACTGAATACGTACACTTTTAATATTTAATGGTTGAAGAATTTTAATGCAAATAATAGTCCATGTTCTGATGATGTCCGAATTTCAAGACTTTACCATTTGTAAGTGGTTTCTAACAAATTTAGGTAACGTCAGGTTTGGCTCAAAGTTGCAGCTCAGAGCCACAAAGGTGATGTTGAATTCACGTCCACGGCTAGGATGCACATAAGTTAAGTAGTTACTGCACTATCTAAGTTACAATGTCATGATAAGCAGAAATAAAACACATTACAATGTTGAGATTCACTTATTGGGCCCTTGTTGGGCAATGTCCATTCTCAGACTTTACGATTTACTATGTCTAAAGGTCTGAATAGGCCTAAAAGAGCAGCATCTTGGGAAGTGGCAAATAATCTGTTTAAAATCTTATGAAGGAAATGAAGTCAGGAAAGTCAGAGAAAGGATGAAAGAAAGTGCCATATGAATTACTACAAAGAGAATAAGAGGTCAGTAAATTAAAATATTTTATGGCTTTCTTCTATCACGACAAGACAAAACATCAGCCAGAGAAGACTGGGGAAAATGGACAAAAGCAGAACCATATTGTAGTGTATTATACACTGTGACCCTGCAGAAATTAACTTTTCATCTCCTATATGGCAACAAAATATTATGCATTCTAATGGCTACTTACAAAAAGTCTTGAAGCAGCTCCCATTTAGAAAGAAAAATAGTAGCCTAACTGTATCCTAAATACTAAAAGTAATGAAAATAATTTCAGTTCTTGAATCACATCAGTGATTCAAGATGAGCTCTTTTCTCTACCCAATGTGCTCATTTTCCATATTCTTAGCTCTCACTCCTCAGCTTTTAGCTTAAGAATAAAAAGGGTTTATTTCAGCTTCTAGAGCAGAATAGATGTATACTTACTTACAAATTTAATTTTAGTTGTTTCCGGACAAATAACAAATCAAATGTTTGTTTAACCAAGCCTTAAAAGTGAAATCTCAAATGTCCTATTCACATTAAACTACTAATTTCCTTAATGGCCTTTTTAATTTTGTTTTTTTAAATGTAGACTCACCTCAAAAAACCTTCTGCATATACAAAACAACAACCTCAGATCTCACTGAACAGATGTTTGGGAAGGCCTAAATATGCACAGTAGATTTGACATTTTACATCTACAGGTACTAATCTGCTATAATCAGATATATTCTGTACAGATACTTAAGTATGTCATGTGCCACCATTGATCCAAATAATCTCCAATAATGCTCATCTGATCAAAAGTCAGGAGACATGATATTTAGCAAATCACACTCAGAATAAATAACATCTTGCTTAGATGTCTCTTTGCCAATAATTATGGCTTGTTTTGGGCAAGTAAACAAAATCACCTTTCTCCACTTTGTAAATAAAAGCTTCTTAAGACACTCAAGTATTTAAATTCAATATTGAAAGCTGCAAATAATCAGTTCTTCATGACTAAGAAAATGAGGGTGGACTTTTTGCATTAAGTGAGCTTCACTGTCATTGGTGTAAAACTACTCTTTAAATGCCCCACAAATGCCTATTTGTGCTCAGTTAAACAAACCTGGTCTGAGGAGAGAGAGGAGGCATAAGTTGCGTTACTCTATTCTACATTCACTTATGGGCAAAGAATTGTTCTATACCTAGAACACCTGAAGGCTGTTTTGTTCCAGTAGCTACAGATTTAAGGCAATTTCAAAATCAAAGAATGGCTTAGCTTGGAAGGGACCTGAAATCCAGATAAAAAGGCATCTGTAGCTCTTCCCTTGTCCAGTCCATCACAGTCACTCCATCATGGAAGTTGATTGGGTTGGTCAGGCAGGACTTGCCTCTGGTGAAGCTGTGCTGGCTGTCTCAAATCACCCTCCTGACTCCCTGTACTTTAGTATAGCTTGTAGGAGGATCTGTTCCATGACTTTCCCAGGCACAGAGGTGAAGTTTGACAGGTGTGTAGCTCCTGGGGCCCTCCTTTCCACACTGTTGAAAGAGGTGTACAATGCTTTCCTTTTTCCAGTAACCTAGAAAATGTATTCAAGGTACATTGATAATATCAAGGAAGGCCTGTATCATTCCAGCAGCTACTCTCTTTAATATGTTTCAGTACTAAATGTACACCCAAGTTCTTGAAAGGAAAGCAAAGCCAAATGTTAAACCCACTTCCATCTCCATGAGGACTGCCTCAGCAAACCCTATTTTTTGATTTAGTTGCAGTACTAGATGTTATGTATCCCTTTAACTGGGTACTTTGTCCAGGTTTCCAGTGTTACAAAGCCCTCCAGTTGATTTTCAAAATAATTTAATAACTACATTCTTCATTAGCAAAGAAACGGTGGCTGGAAAAAATTATTCAAGGCAAAGTTAGCCACAGATGTTCCATATAAGGTACCAGACCCTCAATTTTGCAGCAAAGTCTCAACAGATAAAAAGTTCATCATCATCTGCAAATCTGTATGCACAGAATGAAGATATTATACACACACTTTTGTAAGAGACTCACCAAACCCAGGAGTGGGCTTATGTATTTTTAACCTCTTCTATATAAGCTAGAAATGGATCATTCCAAAGCAGATTCCATATTACCAACTTGAGTTGTTACTGAACAGTGTCATGTCTAGCAAACAAAACTGGTGCTTGAAACAGACCTGACTATATTTAAAGTTTAAGTCGCTGTGCAAATTTAGCTCATTCAGTATGAAACGTATTTCGCTGGTTTTGAGTTTCTGGCCTACTGGGGAACATGCTGGCTCATCATCTTCATCTGCTGATGGAATACTTTCTATCTTTGTTTCAACACACTCAGCTTTTGCATTAAAGAAGTGCCTTTTTTGTCAAGCATCTGTGGATGTATTTGATATTTAGGATATAAAAAACCCCCTACCTCCTGTTTGCAAGAGCCAATTCTATAGCAGTACTTTTGCTGATTACTTTTTGGATTTTTCTGACATTTCAAAAAACAATTAGATTTTCATTCAAACTGAAAAGGTCAAATAAACCGTATCAATGTCAACGGCTTTATCATGCTCAACTCGACATTAATGCAAATAATGCCTCTGCTGAAATCATACTACAAAAGCTGAGATGCAATCCTAAGCATAGCTTTCATATTCTGAAAAGCAAAGTACAGTGACAAGAACTGAGCTCTGTTTTATTCAGGTCAAACTGATGTTTTAGGAATGATCTGGAATTCCTTTATGTTGACAAGCTTCTCCATGTTTCCTCTACACATACTGAGTTAGCATCTCAATCTCAATACACTGTCTCTGCATTTTGATTCTCAAATCTCTGTACAGTCAGCTTCAAAATTTCTGCCAAAGGTATTACTGGCACATAAACTGGTTCACTTGATAGAAGTCTTAGCTTTTACAAAGGTCTGGGAAACAATCTACAGCCTCTAGAAAAAAAAAAAAAAACCAAAACAAACCAAAAAAACAAAGAGTAATAAAAGCAACAATTCAATACAGTTTCTTAGGAAAATGCTTTGTGAAATACTAATTGATTTTTTTTTTTTTTTCATTTGCATGTAGAAATACTTTTCTGCAATGGCTAGAAAAATGGTTAAAATACAATTTTATGAGACAAAGAGTATCTCATATGGAAACACACTAAATAGTAATACAATAATACTGTACAAGGCCTCATTTGAAGGTCTGTTCACAATCCTGATCATCAGTGTTTAAAACTGGTTGAGAAAATAGCGGACCAAGAACAGAAAGCCTGTTTTCAAGGCAATATGAAAATGAGCTTCACAGAATAAAACAAATTAAAAATGTTACTACTACCATGCAAAGGAATCAGACAGAAAAGTAGTTTTTCTAGAGAACTAGAAAACAAGAGAAAAGAATAATTGATCTTCATAAGAAAAATATAGATGAAAAGGAGAAAGAGTTTCAAGTCATTTTGAAAGATTCAGAAACTGCTTTCTGTAAAGGGAACAATTGAGTACCTCATGTTTTAATACAAAGTCTAGCACTTTCATGACAACATTTATATTATATGAACACCTGCAATATATAGAAAACTTGTTAACTTTAGCCGCACTAAGGGGCTGTTGAAATGAATACTAGGATTTCTTCTTGCCACAATTACTAATTCTCATTGCTTTTATGTTCCTTCAGCAGCAGTACAGCCATTATTATTCTACTTACACCACAGGCTTCATCAACTTATAATTTCAAAAGGTATTCAATGTTCCCTTCCTGTGCCAAATGGTGACTCAAGCGATTGTACTTCCACTTACAGTATCCCATGGCACAATCCTGTAATCATTTGACCACAGTTTAAACTGGTAGGAGAAAGATAGATAGCCCTATTCATTACAGAACAGCTTCAGCAAGAGCTAGAAATACACAGAACCATAAATTAGAGCCTAATCTGATCAGTGGAAACTCTGCAACCTGCCACATCCACCATCACAGCGACGAAGCATCTGGGACAGCCATTATCACCCATGGTGTGCTGATATTATACTTCCCAGCTAAGCACAACCAACCTTTCCAGAATACTCATTACATCAGCCTAGTCAGTTATGATAAAGTTCTTGAAATGAAAAATCAAACACTACCACAATTTTCAGTTGAAATTTAAGAGTGGTATTAACAGTATTCTTCATACATATGCTTTTAAATCAAGTGAAATATTGGCTGTATGGATGCTCTTTAGAGAGAAAAAACTAACAGTAATCACATCCCTTGGCTCCAGCATGAGGAAATTCAGGCTTGCAGATGGGATTCAACCACTGGCTCAAATTTGTCCAATGTACAATATATGTGAAGGCAGATTTTTCCCACAACAGTATCTCCAAACTTACTCTGCTTTCTCAACCTCAGATTCTGTCCCATCCTTCTGTAGCTGCTGACAAAAGGCAGAAATGTCAGGAGTAGTGAAGACACAGTCTAAACCTTCTGGCAGAGACCAATACTTGAAACTGTGGACCAGAGTAAGTATTCCCATTATATTTTTCCTTACAGAGGAGTTTTCTATTTCCCTATTCTTAATCTTCTTTTGACACCTTCCTTGCTACATAGCAAAGGAGCTGCTAAAAACACAAACATGCACCACTGAGAGAAAAGCGGGAAGAGAGGTGCAAGTCTCACTGTGTATGAAAAAATTAACACTTCCTTTCCACAAGAGTAGAGGTCACTTCTAGCTAAGCTTCTTCAAGAAAAAGAACTACTGGAAAAAGAATATTTTAAGGTTACCTAATATAGCAAAAAAAAATCTTAATGAGAAAGACAAACCAAATGTAATATAACTAGGGAAGTCTCAAAGCAAACCTTGTCAGACCTCTCATTGAAAAGGTAAGAAGTTTGTTGACATCTTGTCTTTTTGTAGAAGTGAAAAGCATTATTAAACCATCTCTAGAAAGTTATTTGTTGTACCAGTTTAGCTTATATTAGTGTCTGGGTTTTTATTTTGTTTGTTTGTTTGTTTGGTTTTTTTTTGATTTTTGGTTTTTGTTTTGTTTTGTTTTCCCCATGGACTCCTATTTCTTATTCACAGACCGACTGTGTTTCCAAAAAAGGCGAATGACCTTCTTGGTTCCATCAACAATATCCAGGTGGCTGATGTGCATGATGTAACACTGAATCATCACAGCAAAGGTAGATGCAGGATTCCAGGTCCCTCCATGATAGAGAATATATCACATTCTGTAATTTTACTGCTCATGGGAAAATACATTTGAAGTGGGTGTTCCATCAGGGTGAAAAATAATAATTTCCCAGAGAAAAGAAAACCTTCCCTTATTGTAAAAGCGACCCTCAATGCCTGGGAAGAATGAGCGCTGAACTCCAATGATTTCAGAAGGCTAATTAATTACTTTATTCTATTCTATTATACTATAAGTATATTACACTAACAAGAACTATCACTAACTAACTAACTAGAAAACCCATGGCTCTCTCCCGAGAGTCCCAAAACAGCAGTTGGATCCAATTGGTCCATGAATCCAAACACCATCACCAGAATCCAATTAAGCAATCACTTTGGGTAAACAATCTCCATATCACATTCCACAGGGGCACAAACACAGGCACACATAAGAATTGTTTTCTTCTCTCCGTGTTTCTCCAGGAAAAAACCTTGAGAGAGAGAATTATGTCTCTCTGTTCAGAGAATGTGAATGCCACATTCCCTTAGCATTTAGTATAAAGTAGATGTTCTCATCCCTGATACAAGGATGGATCTGAAAAGCATCAGGCCACCATTACTGCAAAAAGACCTGCATTTCTTGCAATAGTGTTAGCATTTGTCTTAAGTCAGTCAAACACAGGGCATTTCACTGCCCTCTGGAGAGAAATCCTGTATATCTATCACTTCCTTGATGTAGTCAAAATTTCTGTTTGGCTTCAAGTACTAGAAATGAAGCAGAAGCTCTCATACTCCCAAAGGCTTTTCTGGATAGTAGACAGGAAAGCACTTTAAGCTTGCTTTAGTCCTACTGCTTGAACACAGAAGAAAATACTATCTAAAGCAGTACACAGCTTTGAAACAACATTTAAAGCATCTATTCCAGATGCTAAAGCATTAATCCATCTGTTACAATGGCTTCAGACAAGACTTCAGTCTATTCTACTTAACATTTATATGCTCCTGTGAATAATTCATGTTCTGTGAAACAGAATTAGCATCATAGTGGTGCTTTACACTTAAAAAATACCCATAGATTGCACTGAATTTCTGTGCTTTAGCTCTAATTTCCCATTTTTTTATTCCAAGCCATTAAAAAACACCAAGAAAAAAAAAATATTGTTACCCATGCTGGTTCATACTTAGCATGGCAGGTCTCTGCCCACGCATGCACATAGCAGAAAGACCCTGATTTCATTCTAGCATGTCTGACCTCAATCTCTCTGTGCCTCGTTGTATTTTGAGTTAGCTGATTATATGCATCAAGTTATTTGTTTCAGTATGACCAGTGAAAGCCTGAGTGCTGCATATTTTCCTCTCAGCTTGCCACAATGTAAGCCATAAGCAGCTTGATTATCTGACTTTTCACATTTATGATAGTAATAGTACA